GATGTTTGGTATAAAACACACTCGTTGCTCCATAGCGCTCGTTTAAATGGTCGCTATGCGATGGAATTATACTTGTACTCAAACATCCTTCCGGAATAACTGATTTTGTTTAGCACGTCATCTGCAGGATTTATCAGTGGAGACACCTCCACACTCCTCCTCCTCCTCCTCACCCACGGCGAGAGAGGAGTCATGTTATAAAAAAATAAGGTATACATACGGGTTCTTCCCATCGGGTCCGGGTGGAGTGCGCAGATCCCTCATGACTCGGCACTCAGTGACGACAGCCCGTCGGTCCCCCGCCCCGACACATAGCTTGCGGAGCTTCGCGTCGTCGTAGTGAGCCGGCAGGTTCGACACTACTAGCCGATACCGGGATACAAACCTGGGGCACGACGTATAAAAGTCAACTCAAAAAGGATTTATACTAAACCATGCACTAAGGTACTTTTAAAAACTCAAAAAAAATTGAATAGTCCGGCAGTCTGTCCGTCATGAAGCTAGATACTAAAACTAGGTTCCAAAGTGAAGGTACTCATATCATGATAGAATAAGCTGTGAGAGTGTCCTCTACAAAAAATTTTGCCATAACCTCCTCAACTGGTAAGCTGTGGTGTTCTGCGTGCTCACCATAGAAAAATGTAATTTTACTAAATGAATTATACTCTGCAATAACACATGTGGGTGAAGCCGATAATTACAATACATAATTATGTACATGTGTTGAAATAATACACATTAAATAGGTACCTGTTAAGATTCTTCAACATCTGTGTCTTGCTACGCTCCAGTGCCAGTCGCTTGGCCATGTCGGAGGCTGACACCCCCACCGCAGCCTTTGTACCAGCCACCACCACTGGAAAATAATGCCATATTTATATTTATTCACAGTTACAAAACGGTACGAGGTCTACTAATTACAACTAACAACTACATATGTTCTCGTTGAGACTAGACATTTAAAAAACCTTTTTTACCATCTGTTCAACCTATTTTAAATTTTACTTCATAGGCTTGTAGTACCATTCTTGTATGGCATTAAAAGTTAAAACATCGATATACAATCAAATGCTAAAAACTAATTATGTAATACCGTTTAAACAATACCTATATTAAAATACACTACAATATGTGTTCGTAATCGATAGTTAAATAAACAGAAACTTATTTTGAATACAAATTTACTGAATATAATTTATAAATGTTGATGGAAAGCATCGCAGGCGGGGACCACCTTGACCGCCACCAACGAAAATTCTGCTAAATGGTGCACAACCGAAATGACTATAAATAAGCCTCTGTTGGTCCCCGCCTGCGATGCATTCCATCAACATTTATAAATTATATTCAGTAAATTTGTATTCAAAATAAGTTTCTGTTTATTTTTTTATTTATAACTTTTTAGCTGTTTTTATTTCGATATATACAAATAGGGATATATCGAATAAAATCGCTATTTAGAGACGACCGTCAACGACGTGTGCCCTCATGCGTGTGCCCGCAATCGGGCTGTATACTCGAGCATATCCCCCTCCGCACCGCGCCGCGCGCCGCATGCCAGGCCACGCCCTATCTTTTTGCTTGCTAACGCATGAGTTGCTTTGCGTTGACGCAGAATTAACATGTTCCCGTGGGAATTTTGAGAAAAAACGTATCCTATATTAATTACTCCCGTGATTGAAATGAATCTAATGATACCGCATACATATTTTTTTAAAGGGAAATTTAGAAAAAATATTATTATGTCTTTATCCCGTGGGACTTTTAGGATAAAATGTATCCTATGACACTCCCGTAATCAAGACAAATCTAACGATACCTCATACATCAAAATCCATCAAGCCGTTTAGGCTACAGGTGGTCACAAAGGAAAAGACATACATACATACTTACATACACTCGAAAAACATTACCCTCCTTCTTTGGCAGTCGGGTAAAAATACACAATTTATAGCAGCCAGCATTTGTTGTTTGAGCAACGTAATCAAGGGTCAAAACAAACAGGTTGAATGGATAGTTAAAGTTCTTATTACTTCTTAATCCCCGATTATGAAAAATCCACATTTGTTCATACAAAAGTAGTCTCTAAACATAATTATGATACAAGGTCTATAATGGAGTAACTGGAGAGCGGTCACCGGTGACCACTTGGGGACCGTCACCTATTGATGGAAGTATAATTTTTAGTCAAATGTCGCAACTGATCCTACCTCCTTCTTTAACAAGATACAGGTTCCTATTGTCCTTGGCTTCCTTCTTGTTGCCCTTCTGCAAGTTCTCCCTCTTGAGTGCCGGCTTCACTGATAATGTTTGACCTTCCAACCTGAGCTGATCTGCTGGTAACGATAGGAAGGCATCTGCATGCTCTTTGTCCTGTAAACATACAATTATGATTGATTGATATACTTTCTTGTTTTTTTTTATATATTTGATGGGCCGACGTTTGACCACTATCTCGCCTGGATGCACGTGTCCCATAAGCAACCTATTCACTTCGGCCTTAAGACTCCCAGGTTACCTTACCCTAGTGGAAATACAGACTCTGGCAAAGTAGTACATGTACTTGTTACTGCCATAGTGGTGTAAGGGGGGGGGGGATTTATATATATATTTGAACCATTTACAAAATGTACAAGTGCGCTGCGCTTCCGGTAACCTTACTCACACCATCTGCGCCCTCTGCGGATTTTAATGAGGCCGCAGTGGTATCCTTCGGTCGAGCTGGCCTATTCGTACCAAACCAAGGCTTTCCCACATTATAGACCTTATTTCATCTCAATAATATATTATATTAACTTACAGCAAACTTAACGAATCCAGTTCCCTTAGAATGTTCAGTCATTTTGTCGACACAGATGAGTGCATACTTGACAGGACCGATGTTCTCAGCGAACTGCCTCAACTGGTCGTTGTCCACGCTGAATGGTATGTTTGTTATGAACACCGTGCACCCGTCCTCGGCATCGTTTAGTTTAATTCTATAATGGAATATTTTATTTAATAAAGACAGTCACATGCCATACTGAGAACAACTAGACTTATATAATTTCTAATTATAAGTTTGTCAAAGTCAAAGTCAAAATCATTTATTTCAATTAGGCCAGAATGGCACTTTTGAACGTCAAAATAAAAATAATATTAAAAGTGAAGCTATTTGCTCATTCCAAGGTGTAGATTCCTATGGAGAAGAACGAGCAAGAAACTCCATAGGTTACTCTGCTTTGATATTGCCAATCAGCCTTGAGCAAGAATGGCGATTAACTCGTCAAGTACCGTCATTATAGACACAATTATAGAACAATAGTGTTTGACAGTTTAATGCTCATTCTTTCTCCATGTGAGAAGATGAGCAGAGGCCTCTCAGCATTGATATAGGCTGTAATGTGTGGAAGAAAAATAACTAACCTCTGGTGTTCCTGTTTAAATCCAGCTTCAGATTCCTTATCACCCTCGTCCTCTTCATCATCTTCTTCTTCATCATCATCGTCCTGTTCCTCACTGTCATCATCCTCATCATCATCATCATCAGACTCACCCTTAACACCAGCCTTATCATCATCATCACTATCGGAATCTTCTTCCTCATTGGAATTCGGTTCTGATTCACCTAAAATGGAAGTAAGAGGTTTTTGTTATTTTACATCTCATACAAAATCCATAGAAAAGTATTGTTTTGACTTTCCGATAAAAGTTACTACAACTACCTTACTACAGTAAAATAAATGATATAGGACTCACTCTCACTCTTGATCTCGTCCTTGATGTCATCAGCGGTGACATTGAGCGGTGGTTTGTTGTCATCATCATCACTGTCAGATTCTTCCTTCTTCACCTTTTCTTCCATCTCAAGCTGCTGGCTGACCACATGCTGCATGTACTTGTTTTTGGCCACTGCCCAATCCACGGATATAGGACGACCTGGACAAAAGTATCTATTATCATCCCATGTAGTATAGGTTTTTGATTCTAAACTATCAGTACTTAGGGCTAGATTTTTTTTTTTAATTTGGCCATAATAAATGTATAGGGTGATATTGAGCCAGTGCATGTCCTAGGTCTCCACCTCGATTACTCATAAGATAATTGGCAAAAAGTTAATGATATAAATGTATTTAATACTTGAATTTCTGTACATTTCAATCAGTCATCAAAAGTTACCTATAGTGTGATAATACAGTACATTGAGTTGAATATTCAAAGGTCTCTTACCGAGGAAAGGTTTCATGTTTGTGTTCAACAAAGCCTTCTTGGCCATGGGTACATTTTTAAAATGAACAAACGCACATCCCACTAGTTTACCATCTGGTTTTTTGAGCAATTTCACTTCTAATATATCACCGTAAGGGGTAAAATGCTCTTTTAAAGTTTCTTCAGTAGCCTTAAAGGATACATTTCGGACTACTAGACGAGCATTACGGTTGATTCTCTCTTTCTTTTGCTTTTCCTCTGTAGACTTGTTTGTTTCTTCTTTAACTTCTGAAATAAAGAAATAAATTATTTGTTATAACGTCAATGAATAGTATAAAATGAACAATCAACAGCCCAATTGTGACAGCCCATTGCTAGAATATGACCTCCTCTACATAATAAAGATTTGCCATAATCCTTAATGGGATTAAAACCATCAACTAAATTAAACTCAGTTGAATTGAAATATCCCATATTATTGAAGTGATAATTAATTTTAGCCTGTTTAATCAACCATGGGGTTGGCATGGTGTTTAAAAGATTTTTTTAAAGAGTATGACAGTTTAATGGGATTACACTATCATTTTGTATTGATTTATTGTAGATTTTGATATTGTCTGCCTAAAGTGTTTTTTACGCCATAAATGGCAAAACACATGTAGACTCTGTACTAATCAAAAAAACACCTTTGAAGTCGACGTTCAAATAGTGCCAGGTGATCGACATGGTTTCGACAGATATTATCAGAATAATTTAAAAAATACCCATCATATAGCTTATCGTCTTATTTTAAGTCACTGTACTGAAAAAATTGTACTGCCCGCAGTAGTGGCAAATTTCACAAGACTTGGCCCATTTAATAAAGATCCACATTTTACCTTAAATTCTACATTAAAAAAATATTGTACACCAAAACTATGTTTGGAACAATCTCATATTCACTACTAGGTAACACTTTGCATGTGACATGTCATCATCATGTTGCTAAACATGTGAAAAACACTTAATTCAAGTACTTTCTTCAGCGGTACATATATACTAATATTGGAACAATACTAAAAATCAGTGAGCACGTTTTGCTAAGCCACACCGACTGTCATATTACAGAAACACTATTAAACATAAAGTAAGCAACAATACATACGAAAAAAAAAGAATAAAAAACTGGCACAGGATGTACTTTTTTGTGGATAAACATAGGTCATTTTATCTATATTTTTCTGATAATGTTCGGGACATTGCTGATCACCTGGTGCCATTTGAACATGGACTTAAAGGACACCTGTATTTTTTTTTTTTAAGGGGGGAAAATCATCGAATGACTGCTCCCGCCTGGGTGAGGCGGGAGGGAGTGTCAGACTCTTACTGACTAAAAACCACCCCATTCCTTCTCCTGCACGTCGAGCCGGAGCCCCAGTTACCCGTTAGGTTCTCCGCGACAAAGGACACCTTTATAAGAGTAAATAAATAGGAGTATATTATGTAATTTGCTCAAGACCGAAAGAGATGGCAGAAACTGAAGGGGGCCTACATCCTAAGGGTAGAAAAGGCTAAAGAAGAAGATATAGGTATATAGAATTGGATAAATAAGAAGTTTTAAGGGATTTTTTTTATTTAATGATTAAGAATGGACTTACCACTAAATAGTTTGTTATCATCATCAGAGTTACTGTTAAACCTCTGTTTAGCAGAGTTGTTCTCCATATTCTGCACATATGCCTTCTTGGACACCGCAAATGCTACATGTATGGGGCGATCTGAAATAAAAATACTTTTAAATTACAAAAAGCAAAGACCAATTTAAACTGTCAAACACCAAGCTGTCACCAGTGACCGCAACCTATTGTTCTATAATTGTGTCTATAATGACGGTAGTCAACGAGTTAACATTCAACAGTCATATCGAGGGGTAACGGACTATTTGGTTTAAGTGACATTTTGGGCGATATTGAGTTATATATATATTCGGAATCAGCAAATTTTTCTCCGTCGAATATATATAACTCAATATCGCCCAAACCAAATCGTTTGTTACCTCTCTATATAAGATCTGGTGAAGAATAGCTGAATTGCCAGTACCTAGGAAATAGATACAATAATGTGAAAATCCCAGTGCTTGGTTTTGCTCTTGAAGCAGTTACCAAAACATGAAAAGATAGAGGTGATTTGATACATTTATCAGAAACTTACACAGGAGGTGGTAAGCTAGTCCTTAGTTTAATATCAACTATTAAACATGATTCGTAATAATTATTGTCAATGAAATTTATTTCTACCATGTACTTTTTTGTTTTTATAATAACTATCGTGAGACATACTAAATTAAGTAAAAACGCGGGTTACTCACGTGAATATACTGAGAAAAGCTCTACTAGTTTAGCTGCTCATGAGGAAGAACCCCTCTGTGGTTCGAAACTAGTAGAGCTTTTCTCAGTATATTCACGTGAGTAACCCGCGTTTTTACTTAATGTACTTTTTTAGTAGCATTTAGGATTAAAGTTGGCTTATAACAGGTCAAATAAGTATTTCTACCGAAATTCTACTTACCTAGGAATGGTTTCTTGTTTGTGGAAGCAATAGCCTTTTCAGCTTGTGCAACATCAGCAAAATGTACAAAGCCACACCCAACCAATTTTCCATCAGGTTTCTTCAACAAATTCACTTCTTGCACTGTACCGTATTTACCAAAGTGCTCTTTTAACGCCTCTTTCGTGGCTTTGAAGGAAATATTGCGCACGATAATGCGGCCATTGCGTTCAGTTGATTCTTTATTACTTTTGACGTCGTTAACACCCGAATAAAACTCGTCGTCCATTTTCCCCGTTGCTTTAAATGCTTTAAAATCGTAACTATCGTAAGTAATTCACTAGAAACTAAAATTCATTGGGAAAATATTCACGTGGTACATCAAAACATAACCTTTTCGATCACTTTTACCGATGCTGAAATCAATGACAAAAAATATTTATATAACTTCTGCAAACACTAAGTAAACTTAACACAATTCTATAAAACTTCGTTTAACTCACAATTACTTAGCTTGCACAATTTTATCCTATTTTGTGGTATTATTTTTTATTCTCCTTGAAAGCATTTCCCCGGCAGGGTTGCCAATACCTATTTACAGATTTATTTACGGATATGCCCAAAAATCAAAGCAAAATTTAAAACGGTATTTAAGTCAAGATGAGATAAAATTTAAAAATATATTTCAATAATTGTTTAGAGGCAAAGCAATCGGGATGTGTTAGTTTTACTTCCTAAGGTACTTAATTTTTTTTTTTGCAGTTTAAAGCAGCATTTTCAGCATTTTGTAGTGTTCAAAGACAGATAAAAACCATTAAAACGTGTCGCCGCCATGCTAATGACGTCATTACGGTAGTAAGCAATAGTGTCAGCTGTCATTGTACTAAGGGTGTATGTTAGCTGTATTTTACTCATAGATCTCTTATCATACCAGTGATTACGCGCGAAATTTAAAATTATGATAATGTAATTAATTTATATTCGTACACAACGAGAGAAAAAAAGTTTTTTGGAGGTATACTAGGTCTAAAGAATTTATTTTAGATACATTTCAAAAATGCATTCAATAGCCTATTCCTGTAAGGAGGATTAAGGTTGAATTAGACTAGAAAAGTATGATCCGCATAGATGTAATAATATCATATCACCGATGATCCTTAACCTGCGGTTGCTAAAATTCAAGAAAACAACAGGGAACGAACATTACACAACACAAAGGACTTGGTTGAATGAAACAAACATGGCTACTTTTTGTGTTGTAATATTTTGATTCCACATTTTTTTTTCTTTTTTCTATGTAACGTACTAAAATGTATTAAGTTCCGCCACTTATTGCTTGATGAGTCTGAGTAGGTACATATCAATATTATACGGCAGCTAGTGATGGATCTTGCCTTATTTTGTTAAAGGATTTTTACCGACTTCAAAAAAAGGAGGAGGTACTATGTTCCGCTGATTGTTTTTTTTTTGTTTGTTCGCGCAGTACTCCGCTATTTGTGAACCGATTTCCTAAATTCTTGATTTGTTTGAAAGGGTATACTCCCGAGGTGGTCCCATTTCCATGAGGTCAGGATCTGATGATGGGATCCTAGGGAAACCGAGAGGAACTTTCGAAAATTCTGTGGGCGAGTAATGCGTCTATTATGTTTTTCAATTAAGATTTTTGAACACTACAATTTGATCAGGGTCTGGAGTCGACCTGATGATGAAGCCGACAGACAGTCGAGGGAACTCCTCAGCGGTTTATATTAAGTACCTTGTGTTTGGGCTTGATTAATTTGTATTGATGAGGACTTTACACCTAGATAGAGTGGGGCTGTCATTAAGGGTCTGATGATGAAGAAGTGTAATTGTTAAGGGAACTCCTCAACGGTATACAGTAACTACCTTGTGTTTAAGCTTCAATAATTGGTATTGATGAGGACTTTACACCTAGATAGAGTGGGGCTGTCATTAAGGGTCTGATGATAAAGAAGTGTAATTGTTAAGGGAACTTCTCAACGGTATACAGTAACTACCTTGTGTTTGGGCTTGATTAATTGGTATTGATGGGGACCTTACACCTAGATAGGGTGGGGTCCGGTCTAGTCAGGAATTTGGTTGGATACAGATACGGGTAGTAACCAAACAGACGTTTATACAAAAATCGTAGGAACGCTTTTTGTACCTTTTCTAACAAAAGAGCATAAGTGACCTCATGAGGATGCCACACGCAAGAGCTGACTTCGAGCTTGCTCCAAACAAGCGTATTGTATAATAGCCGAATGACATGGTCTTTACGGAAATCTTTTGAGTTTCTAAGAACGAAACCAAGTCTCTTGAAAGATTCCTTGGCGACGACGATACACTTGCGCCAACGAATAGACCATTCATCAAAGCATTTTTTAAACACTGCTTCCGGATTTGAGTTCAGTTCTCGCCGCTAATTCTCCTTTATGTCTTCTATCAATTGAAAACAGGTGCCATGAAGTGGTAATTTGAGTTTAGGAAAAAGAAAAAAGTCAGCAGGAGCCATATCTGGTGAATATGGAGGTTGCTGGATGGTATTTGTTGAGTGTTTGGTCAAAAATTCGTTCACAATGATAGGTAGCCTTGTGCGAAGGCACATTGTCGTGGTGCAACATCCAAGAATTTTCTTTCCACAAAACTGGCCTTTTTCGTCGAATTTGCTCTCTTAAACGCCGCAAAACGCTCAAAAAATATTATTTATTTACCTTTACACCTTCCGGTAAGAATTCAAAGTGCACAACACCGCGATAGTCAAAGAAAACAGTCAATTTGACTTTGATTTTTTGATCGACTTTGGTGTGGTTTTTTCAGTTTCGGTTCAGTTGGAAGGCGCCACTCCGAAGCTTGTTGACTAGTTTGCATGTTAAACTCGTAAACCCACGTCTCGTCACCAGTAATAATGCGTTTCATAAATGTTGGGTCTGAACTGACTCGTTCTAGCATGTTCTCGGCGACTTTTATTCGATTGAGTTTTGGAGAAAATTCAGATCTTTCGAGACTAGCCGAGCAGTGTTCCTGCTCATGTTTCATGTTTCATACCCAAAATATTAGTTAAAAACGTACGGATCGACTCGTGAGATACAGAAAGTTCGGCGGCTATCTCTCTCAGAGTTGAATGAGGATTTTCAGTCACTATTTCCTTCACTTTTGCGATATTTTTGTCCGTTATGAAATTCGCAATACACATTATGGTATAGTATGTAGTTATATATGTTTTGCCTTACTCCTTTTAATATAAAATATAATTCAGTTCTTGCATTAATAAACTTAACATTATTATGATTAAATTATATCATTATGATATTACTAAAACTAGCACTGTATTTAATATAAATAACAGGTGCAACTCAAACTCCGCGCAAAAATGGAAAACAGTTGTGCCATTATTTTATTTCTTTGTTTCGAATTGAACTAAATGATAAGTTATTATTTTATATTTACATTGAATTGCCTATGTCGATATGTTACGTCGACTTAGGTACAACACTATTGTGAGCGGAGATCTGGAATTTTTGAGGTCCTTTTGGTTTCAAATCACATGTTCATATTTCAGATTATACATCTATGGTCTGTATTCTCTGGTCTACCTCAAAATGTACGGTTGTTAAAAAAAATGTAAAACGTCAAATATGGTAACTCTTTGGTCTTCTCATACTTCATTATTTGTCAAACTGTCAAAACAAATAACCTCTTTCCATAAATAGGTATTGAATTTCAATTTAAATTCTACAAAATGAATTCTCGACATATTTTTAGTATGTGCAATAAATTACTGATACAACAAACAATAACCAGAGGTAACAGTTTCAAAATTGTCAAACGTCCGGACCCAAAGACTTTGAAAATGCCTGCCCCGGGTACCGCTCCTAGCATAATGGATATAATAAAGGAAAAAATTAGACTTAATGGACCAATTACGGTGGCTGAATACATGCATATTATTATTACAAATCCTACCGAAGGATATTACATGAAAAAAGAGGTTATTGGGCAGGGTGGCGACTTTATAACATCGCCAGAAATAAGTCAACTATTTGGTGAGATACTGGGTGTTTGGTTCTTCTCTGAAACTCAAAAACTGGGTACTAGTAAGCCACTTCAAATTGTTGAACTAGGGCCAGGCAATGCAACTTTGCTAATAGATGTTTTAAGGGTAAGCGTAAAAAAAATATCTGAAATTGTCATATTTTAAGGATTAGAGAGAATATCTTTTGATATAATTGGTGAAACTGTTTCAGGTAGTTAACCGTCTTGGATACAAACCTAAAGACTTAAGTATTCATCTTGTAGAAATATCTTCAACCATGCAGTTGGTACAAGCAAATAAATTATGTGTATCACACAGAGAAGTCAGCATTGAAAAGCCACACAACTACGAAGTACATAATTCATGGAAATGGTACAAATAAAATTATACTTAATAACAAAGTGTATTATGATGTATTTTTGTTTGTTTCCAGGGTGAAACTATCAGTGGTATCAAAGTATACTGGTACAATGACCTGAAGAAAGTACCAAATAATTTTTCTTGGTATATTGCTCATGAGTTCTTTGATGTAATGCCCATACACAAGTTTGAAGTAAGGAATTAAATTTCTCATTATGAAAAAATCTTTTTGACACCAATGTTGTTATAAAATTACTGCTTTTAGAAAACAAATGATGGATGGCGAGAACTCTTAATAGATCTTGATGGACAGGAGAAGCTTTACTACAGAATAACAGCTGAAGAAACAGTATCATGCAAGTCATTAATAAAACCTCCTATAGACTCTGGAGATAGAACAGAGCTGGAGATCAGTGCCCGGAGTCTCGGCATTGCAAGGCAGCTGGCCACCAGAGTAGACAAATATGGCGGAATAGCTCTCATTGCTGATTATGGACATGAAGGAGAAAAGGGTGATACTTTTAGGGTATAAAACTATCATAAACTTCTTGAAATTGTTGTTTGAAATAAGGGAATATTTTAAATAGAAATGTATGTTATTTTTAGGCCTTCCACAAGCACCAAGTGGTGAATCCTTTGGAAAATCCTGGAAAATGTGACTTAACAGCTGATGTGGATTTCTTTCAATTAAGAATTGCTGCTTCAAAGACCCCATCAACTGAAAATTTTGCTCTGGTTATGGGACCTGTCAAACAGAAAGACTTCCTTGAGAGATGTCAAGCCCAAGTAAGACTGAAGGTGAGAAGTCATTAATTATGACTATAACTAACCCAAAGAACTATTAACCAAAAGTATAGTGTAATGAATAATAACTATTTTCAGGTTTTGATGGATAATGCAAAATCAGATGAAGACAGAGAAAAAATAAAAAAATCTTATGAAATGCTTGTAGAACCAACGAAAATGGGCGACAGATTCAAATTCATGGCTTTTTATCCGTCGTCAATGGTTGATCTTTTAAATAAATATCCACCATTAGGTTTTTCTACGCCAAAATCGGAAGATTGATAATAATATTAATAAGTTAATTTAATTATTTTTATTTGTAGTATGTTAAAATATTTGTCTCTGTTAAATATTATAAATAGTTATTAAAATGTTTTCGTTATTGCAATTGTTTTTATTATGTACAGCTTAATACCCATAAGGTTTGGAATAATTGTGTTAGCTAGTATCGTATCTGTGGCAACCTGTGCCTTTAGCCAAACGCCACTTTAGCGCTTGTCTACAGAGATAGTAGAAATCAAAATGAATGGGGATGACACTGACAAGTGTCAAAATTTACGTCAATTCCATATAATTTAGTTTTCTATTCTACATGTAGACAAGCGCTAAGTGGCATTTGGCTACGGGTGCTGGTACACTACAACTCTACGCACATCCACCGTGGTGGCGGAATGGAGATTTATTCTTGAAACTCACAAGACTGAAGTTTTGTGCC